GGCTGGGGGAGCAGACAGAGGATGAGGCTGGCAGTGGTCCACACATGGTCCCCTCCCCCCTCCTCCAGCCCCCGCTTCCCCACCCCTTATTTACCAGCATGGGGTCTGGGTCCAGCTCCCTGTGGCAGTGAGTGGGGACTGCCTGAATATCCGAAGCTCTCCGAATCTTTTCTGAATTGATTCGGAGAGCTTCAAATTGATTCAGACCTTTTTATCGGTCTCCTGATTCAATTTGGGCCGAATCTCCTCCAAATCGAATCAGCACCTGAAGCTTCACACAGCCTTAGTATGCAGACCATGACCATCCTTGAAGAATTTATTGCAGTAAAGAAGAGCTGAGTTATTCCAGAATGAAGGAGGTCTCCGTGCTATTATAATTAATGAGAGTCTTGTAACAGTGTATCTCTAGTACAGCAGGGAATCTTGTATGGTTTACGAAGTTGAATCTGCATTGCTCTTATAAACTGAATGCATATAATTTTGCAGCAAGCTGTCTCTTAAATATAGCATTGATATTAAGTATCTCTTACAACAGATGCCAGCAAGCCTGCTCCTGTCAGGTATTGAGCCTTTCTTACGAGTTTTTCAAGGCCATGAATTCCTTACAACTTCATTGAGACTTGAAAGCACTTAGCTACTTACAGAATTTCTTTTCTCTGTTAGGTACATAAATGACAGTAGTATTGTAGCAGCTCAGGGTCTCACCCCAGTGGAACAGAGGATACTAGTATCTTCATTTTAGAGACAGGGAGCTGAAAGGCACAATGAGAGACCATGATTGGTCTCATAGGCACTTAAACAGGACCTATATGGAATTTATGTTTTATGAATTTATGAACCTATGTTCATTGCAGTGACTACAAAACCACATAGGCACTCTGAATCTGTTGTTATCCAGATTAAGGCTGGGTGATGCCTAAAATCTGACTAAGTCCCCACTCTGTGATGTGCCGGAGGCATAAGCACGGCAGTCCACCGTCATTCTGGAATGCAGTACAGTGGCATAATGTACCTCTTGTAGTCTAGTGGTTACAGCACCCAACCAAGAAGAAGGTTCTAGGTTCTCCTCAGCCACAGTAAATTCAAATCTGTATCTCTTACTTCTCAGGAGAGTGTCTTAACCACCAAGCTATAAGCTTATCTGGGTGGATACACATGTATTAAAGCTGGGCAGTCAGGCAGCTAAGAGAGCTCAGAAGAAAAAACATGAAGGAGCAGGATTGTCTAGCCCAGGAGGAGGGGAAATGTCCTGAGATCTGCTAACCATCTTTCTCACATTTTGTCAAATGTGTGTATGAAGTCTCTCCTATATTTCAGATATTCTTAATACTATAATGTTTAGCTCTTATGCTATTCTGTACTTCTGCAATATAAATATTCAATTCATTTTTGTTTTTCTATTTTCAGCAAGTTTCTCTGGCAGACAACAGGTACGCTGCATGTTGATTTATTTGTGAAGTGTTTCGGTAGTTATGTAATGTAAGCTTGAGAGTTCCTTTGGAATTTTTACTGGGTTCCAAGGTTTCAGAAATGCACCAAAACTAGCAAACAAATGTGATATTTAAATACTGCTTAATGTTTTATATCTGTTCACCAAGTATAATAATTTGGAAGCAACTGCCACTTTTTGTTTCTTGGGATGGGCAGACGCTATTGAATCATTAATAATTTCAGTAGGAAATGGTAGAAATATACATAACAGAAATATAGTATAAATTGTAAACATACAAGTTCATACCATTTTAGTAGCATATGCCATAAGTATCTCCATAGGACCCAAAGGATATCTCCTGGGACATCAAGTACAGTGTCAAAGAGACAAAGGTATTTTTAATGGTACTTGTAGGCTAAGTACAGATAGTCAAAAAGCCTGAAGCTGAATCAGTTCAATTTTCACAGGTTAGTCTAAGCTGCCTAGATTGAACCAATAAGCAAGGGAACAGACATTCATTTTTGATTCCAGAAATACAGCCACATGCCTGCAGTGGCTCAGGCCAGGAGCTCGGGAGCAGTAAAGTATGCCTCCATGCTCCACTGGAGCTTGGGCCATGACTAGCCTACCCACACTTAAAGGGGGTTTGGGGAGGAGTGTAAAGCATCCTGAGATGCTGGGGGACTGAGTTAACTTGAATCTAGAGGGGACCTGGGACAGAAGTTAAATTAGTTAAGTCGGATACTACATCCATCCAGGTTTATCTTAAACCCATTTTGGCCATTTTGAAAGTGGTTTGTGTGCACTAACTAAACTTCTGTTATGTTACAAATTTGAACTGGTTTCTGATCACCTTTACTAGTTTATGTGTAATTTCTGTCCTTAGCCCTGATGATTGCACAGACTTTCTATTGTTAATCAATACTTACAAGAAAAAATGTTATCTAAGGTCTCCAAAAGCACCCTGAAAATATATTGGAAAAAAATAATTTTTTATAATTCCAGTTTCTCCCTTTCTCTTGTTATGCAGTCACTTTCCCTTTCAGTATACAGCCTTAGAATATTTGGACCAATTTTTCTGACAACAGTTATCTGCCTTCAGAAAATATCTGAAAGAATGGGATTGCTTCCTTAAATGATGATAAATTTGAAGAGTTATGACTTGAATTGAGCCCTGTAGATCATGACTCTCAGAGATCAACCTGTAACTGACTGTGAACAATCAGGTGAGATAACCCAGTACCATCGGACCAACCGGAGACTGGGCTGCAGTCTCTTTGAATTTCTTCTCTGGTTTAATTAATATTGCTTCCCAGAGAATAACCTTTGTCCGAAACAGGCATTTGGAGGACTCTACACATACCCAGTGAGTTTTTGGTCAATAACTCAATTTAAGCAGATGGCTTCAGATTGCCAAAGCTGTCTTCCATAACCATTAGAAAAGAGGACATACGAGGAAAAGTGGAAATGTCCTGGAACTGAAGCTTAGAAGTAAGCCTCTAAATTTATAGGGCTAAGCATGAATGTGGAAACCAAGAACTCCTCTGCAGTAATGCTGATACTTACCTCTATAAATTCTGCACATTATTATCCATGGCTGTAAAACCCAGTAGGTTGACAAGTTGGTTTTTGGCTTGGCTGCCATAGCATGGTTTGACCATAATTAAAAAAAAAAAAATTACCTCCAAGTTTTTCCTTCCTGAGTGTGTAGGGAACTATCTGGAAGGTGGTGCATGTAAATATTGTGATGCGATCATCATTTCTCATCACTACAGGCAATGTGAAGTATTCATTTGGAAGCCAACCAGTGTTTCCTGACATGCAGTGCGGCCCTATTCTACAGTGCAAATCACAAGTTCTGCTTCATCAGAAGACTGCCTGGGACGTGGGAACATGCTGTTCAGCACTGACTGCGTGTTCTACTTGAAATAGTAAAACACTGAATACCCAAAGATGAGGATTTTGTGTTTTTATATTAATATGCTTTCTGTTTCTTTCTTTCCTTCCTTCCTTCTTTTTCCCTTCCTTTCCTTCTTTCTTTCTTTGTTCTTCTCCCTTTCTATGCAACTGTAAATTAATGAACAGCAGAGTATTTGGAAATGGTTATACATTTGTCATTGATTTGTATAAATATACAGCATTGGGAAAAGGGGCAGGGGCTTTATATACATTCTTTTTGATAATAGTAAAGAGAACTACATAAAAGAGTTTGGAGCAAAATGTTACATTTATACATTCCTTTTGGCTCTTTGCATTTACATTGTAAAATACCTTCATTTATCTTCTGACACGCTTATGGTTCTGTACAGGTTATTTATATTTGTGTCAATCATCTGACCAAATAGATTTCCGAAGACCCTTGAATTGTTTTCGGGATTGGTAAAATAACAAGTTCGCCTAACTTGCACTATATCATTATTATCTAACAAAAATTGCCAGTGTGTGCAAACTACAGTATTTAGCACTAACATGATAGACCCTCTTTTTAGTTACAGTAATAGAAATGCCATGCACCAAAATGGTATGTCTAATCGTTGTTTTTTCCCCCTAGTTACTTCCATGCCACACCCCACATAGAGGGATTATTTGTTTTAGATTTATTTAAACTCAGAAATTAGGAGATAGCTAAATGAGGACTTCAACAATTTTTAAGGCTTCATTTATCCCCAACTAAGGTCTGTCAAATATATTTTTACCCAGAGACAAAGCTTTGTTGTTTCTAGCTGTGCCAAACTTTTTTTTTCAAGTCTTTGACTCTCCAATCTGCAAAATGAAGGCTAGTCACATATGATCTGAACACACGCACATTTTTTTATAACTCTTATGAAAATGCCTGAACAATTAAGCCCTTTCCAATACTATTAACACCAGAACATTTTCTTTAAAATAGTGCACCATGTTTAGCTATTTTCATTTGGCCTTGTTTTTGAGTCATTTTTCCTTCTGAAGAATTCATTTACTGTTCTTTTATTTACATGCTTAAAGTACATATAAGCATGGGTTCTGTCATTTATTATGGTAAACGAGTTGTAATATTGGCAATTAAATGATGGGTTTTGCTGCCTTCACTCACTGATGAGTTTACAGCATTGCATGGATACTTACTTTAATTTCAGAAAATACCTTTGATAAATTGCATGCAATAATTTCCCAGGTGTTGTAGAGAAACAAAACTGCACCCTTAAATTACTGTTGTTATTGAAGAAAATTCTCTGAATGCCATTGGAGATCCTGCAAATTCCATACTTCCAGGAGTAAAGATTTAGAGGGTGTGCAGGAAAAACACCACTATTTGTTAATATTTGGTTATCTGCAGCAACATAATGCTGACCATGTTCCTAATTCTTGCTCACAAGTGACTGTGCAAAGCCTGGTATGAACACAGGATTGCCTGAGCTCTAGTGCTGGTTCTCATGGTGATTCTTTCTAAAGCTTTGAGCAAGTCATCTAACCACTCTGCCTCAGTTTCCCCATCTGTAAAATGGGGATGATAATACTTACCTACCTCCCAGAGGTGTTGTGAGGCTTCATTCATTTAATGTCTTTGAAATGTGCTTTGAAAATGAAAAGTGCTATATAAATGCTAATTATTATTATTTTTGGATGGGTGGGAGGGGGGAATTGTCCAGGTGAGCAGGGGAGAAGCTGGTGATTATGTGAATTCTTCATCTATTAAAAGAATATTTGTAGCATAGTTATTTTGAGAAGGAAGAAAGTTTTACAGAAGAGGAAAGCCATGACCACCTTTCTACCTCAGACCCATCTTCATGAATAGTATTGGAAATAGCTTTATGCTCTGTTCCCTGCAAGATATTTTGCTTTTACCAGGCCAGGTTGACATCAAAGCAAATAAATCCTTTATAAAGAAATTCCCTGAATTAAAAAGGTTTCAGTAATCAATTTTGGTGGCTTTTTGTTCTGACTATGAGAGGTTATGTATAAATTGTTTTCCTGCCTGTGTTTGTCTGCTACTTAAAACACTACATTGTAACATTCTTCCTCTGAAACAATAATAAATAAAAGGAATATATTGCAGTAACTTTTAGAAAAGGTATGGGGTTTCTCTGGAGTTTTGTGGTACAGAATGTTCATACTTCTCATTTCTAATACGTTACATGCTGTAAGTTTCATTTTGAATGAAATTAATTTTTTAACACAAGGGTGTTTTGATAGTCCTCAGCTCAGCATTCAGGGCTCAAGGGAGGAAATATGGGGAGGGAGGCGGAAATAATTTTCAATAAATCTAAATTATGTTTTGGTGGGGGTGGTGGATTTTTTTTTGTTTTTGGGGGTTTTTTGCAATTCTCCACTTTGTGTCACACACTTTGTAATCTTCTCTGTTGCATGTAAGATTTTTAAATTTAAACAGCCAAGCAGTGAACTGCTTGCTTAAAAAAAAAGAAAAAGAAAAAGTGCACTGTATGCAGTTCAACTAAATATATGAAAACCTGTTGAATAGCAGAGATCTAAGATAACCTACAGATTCTTTTGGCATATAGTCAGCAGTCCCTCCATTCTTAGTCAAATTTGTGTACTCAGTCAAAAAATACTTAGTCTATAACAGTTGGTATTCATCACTCCAATGTTAAGTATTTTCTAGTTAGGTGATGCTAAGCAGTTTCTAGGAACTTCCACTTTAAAAATAAATTAAGCAATTTGATATAGTTTTCCACCAAGATGGGTTGATACTACTTATCTGCTCAACATTTATTAAAATGGTTTCTATAAAAGGATGGTCTATCAGATCATCTACATAATGTGAATGTCAAAAAGTATACTGGCATTTTCCTCAGCCTGCGAAATGATGTTTACACTAAACACACTGTGGGGAAAATGGTCTTGTAAAGTATTCAAATGACCTAATAATCTACAAGGAGCTTGATTACAGAAATCTATAACTATTAGACTTAATGTGGTCTTTACAGTCTCAGTCTTGGTTCTTAAATTAGTTTGAATGCATTGATTAAACTAGAAAGTTTTAAAGAATTTTGTAGCTTACCATTTAAAATATATGCTGGTGTGTTCTTAAAGTTGAAGGTAAATGAGAAAAAAACACTGTTCCACATGCCTGGAACCTAATTTCCTGATACACTTTGCACTCCAGAAAGTCATAACTAGTAAGGCTGTGCGAAGCTTTGGTCCCTGATTTGGTTCAGTGGAGATTTGGCCCGATTTGGTGGCCGAATCTCTGAATCTAGAACGAATCAGGAGACCCTTTCATCTCTCCAAATCAAATCAGATCCCACCAAATCAATTCAAAGAGATGCAAAAAGATTCGACAATTCGGGCATAGATGCAGCTTTAAAAGTTTTTTCTTCATACCTCAAGGTACCAGGCAGCTCGTGAATGCTGAGATGGTGGGGCAGATGGAGCATGCCACAGGAGCATGGGGGGCTCCCCAGCACACTCGGCAGCAGACCCAGAAGTGGACCCAAAGCACTTCCAGTCCACTTCTGGGTCTGCCAGAGAGCGTGCTGGGGGTCCTCCCTCCTGCACCCCCTGGCTCGGCGACTGGTGCCTCCTGGGTCTGGGGGTCCCCTCACGGCTGATTGCCGAGCTGGGGGAATGTGGGAGGGCCCCCCAGCGCGCTCCCCAGCAGACCTGGAACACTATCTCACTGCGTCGGAAGGTATCTGTACTGTTTTTTTCCCTCTGGATGAGAACATGTTTGCCACAATCCCCCTGGACTTGTTTATGTTGTTGTAGCATTTTGGGCCCCTGGCAGATATTACATAGATTGTGCAATACTGGCATATTATAGACAACTAATTGTAACATGCCAGACATGAAACCAATTTATCCCTGAACAAAATTTGCGGATCAGCACAAAGAAGTTGCTTACTGAACGGCAACTTCCTTGTGGCTTGGAAGTATCCCACAATAATTTTAACACATGGTCAGTTGAAATGTTACAGTTTATCATGCAGTTCTAGTATGTAACACATGACAAATTGTAATGTCTGTCAGGAGGCCTTCGGTAATCCTAACACTATATGGATCTGCACAATCAGGTAAGGATTAAGTGTCACTGTCTAAGACCCATCAGGATTCACCAAATAGACATTCCTCCATCTTTTGTGACTGAGGAGTTCAATCTAGGAGGAGTGCTTTGAGAAGGCCTACTGTATTGGGCTCCACACAAAATACAGTCAGAGCTCCTGTTCTCCTTCATGTTCTTGTCCTTATACATATTGTCACTGTGGGTGTGTATATGCCTTTAAGTATTCCAGCGCAGTGGTTTTATTCCCTTAGGAGTACCTGAACAGTGTACTCAGTGCTGTCCCTCTACTCCACACCAATGGCATAAAGCAGGGTGGGCACTTGCTTCTGCAGGTTCCTCTCAATTGCTTGTCTCAAGAAAGAGTGCTTTTCTCATGAAAGATTTGGCTTATCCTTTCTGCAACGTGTAGATCCTTTGAATCCCTTCCTTTGAAAAGCTGTTGCTGCTCCTATTGTTATTGCCTTTTCCATTTTTGTTTTTATCCTCTTAAAAATGTCTTCCTCCTACCTGCCCACCTGCCCTGTTTGGGATTTTTTTGCCTGTTAGGCTATGGAACTGTCTCCTCCCCACTTCTTTTTCTGTCTGCACCATCTTTGAGGCTGCCTTTTCCCTTCTAGTTCAGTGGACCTCCCTCATTTTTGAGTCAAGAGGAGGAAAAATTCCTGGACTTTTTTTCCTGTAAAGTCTGTCTGAGTCATGGTCCTGGTTTCTTCCAGGTCTCTTAGTTTCAAGCTGCTTCTGTGATATCGTGCATGAATCCAGCTGACATGCTAATGGTCTATAGTGTCTGGGACAAGAATTCCACCTAAAGATCCTTTTCCTGCTGGTTGGAGGAAAGAATGCAATATCATGTTCATATCCTATCTCTTTGGTAAGTCCATGGGATCCACCTCTGTTCCTGGGACTCAGGACTGTCAAGTGTCTTGCATCCTCAAGGAGACCCTCTATTTCTTTAGGTCTAAAGAAGTCTACAGTAAGTCACCGGACTAAAATCAGTTCCAGGGGAAGTCCCTATTTAGGGGTTCTCCATAGAAGCCTGCTGAGGTGGTCCATGTAACTAGTTTGGGGCCTTAGTCACAGGTCAGGAGGAAGACCAAAACCTGAGTCACGATCTGGATCCAGAGAAACACAGGAAACAGCAGAAACAAGGGAGCCAGCTTAGCATCTGGGATCACAAGAGCACCACGAAGACTAAGCAAGCCCCAAAAATGAAATTGTGTATTTATGGACTTGTTTCTGCAGTCAAATGAGACCCTAAATTTCTGGGAACAGTTTCTTTCACTCAATCCCATACATTCCACAGACAGAGCTGTGGACACTAGCTGACCTTACACTTGGGCCCTGCTGGGACAGATTCTTGCCCAAAGCAGTAATGAACTGGTCTTGAAACCCTGACAGGCTGTTTGTCATCTTGTCTCCCTCCTAGTCCAAGACTTATGGTCCCAAGTACCAGCTTGGGTGCAGAGGATGCTGCCTCATGTTCTGTGGTAGCTGTTATGAGGCATTTGTCCTGGCTATAGGGGGTCAGGATTTCCAAGTGAGATGCAAAATACAGTGGAAGACCTCTTCTTTGAAGTCTCAGAGCTGTTCAGCACAAAGATTGAGACAGTGCATATGTTGAAAAACTCTAGAGCTACTCTCCACTCATTTGCATTCTATTCACCAGTTCTAAAAGGAAGCCAGGCACCAGTTGTCTTTGATCAGGAGCTCTTGCAACAGCCGTCCTCCCTTCTTCCCCCTCCTGTTTGCTTATGGACCTTTACAGTCTTCCATGAAAGGGCCATATTTCCACAAGAGGGAGCATTCCTCTGCTGCACCACCTCCCTCCCAGAGAGTGTAAACCAGTGGTTCTCAAACTTTAGCCTCCAGGCATACCTTGGAAAATGCCAGCTCTTAGCTTTTACTTCTTTTTGACTGTGGAAAAAAAATAGAGCAATTCCTCTGTTGCAAAGAATTCAGAAAGAGCACAAGAAGTCAAAATGTTTATCATGGATAGGTGTTTGTGCACCTAAACCAGGGTACCACAATATCCTGATGGCAAATCGCTGGTGTTAGATGTAGGCAAAAGTCTTCAAAAAGGTCAGGGGATATTCCTCCTTCCAGTGTTCTCTTCCTCCTTCGGCCTCCCCCTGCACCTTCACCACCACTTGGGTTCTTTTTAGGCAGTGTGGACCCCAATCCCTGTGGACTAGTGCAAAGGTCAGCAACCTACAGACCAATGGAACTAGTGGGGTTGGCTGTGTTCAGATGCAAGGGGGCTTTGGCAGCATTTGATAACAGCAGCTTCACCCACAGTGCAGGTGGGTGGAAGATGGTTTCACATGCATTGTGGCTGGATGAATATATCAGAAACCACCAGATATACCATCTAATTCAATTAATTTCCTTCATCAGATCCCTGTTCCAGGGTCCCTTCTCATGAGATACTGCTTTGTAAAACTATCTTTCTCCTTGCTGGCTTTAATGATGAAGCCCCTTTTCTTAGAGCAAGGTTTCTACCTTCTGGGTCCCCAGAAGGAAAGGGGGGATGTTTTCCCATCTTGAATTTTAAAAGAAATCTTTATTTGCTGACTTGAGTTCAAGATAGTCACTTTACCCAACAACACATGATCCTTACACAGGTAGAGGTAGGGATCCTTCGTGTCTCATGACTTCCAAATGCCAGGCCTTCCCACAGAAAATGGCATCATCTTGAGATGGGATAGGACCACTATTCAAATTCCCATTTCACCTCTTGATGACCCTGAGAGTCATCATCACAGTTCTCTTGGTAGTATCTCTGTTCAGACAGCAAGGGGTCACAGTTTATGCCCTATATAATGGATAGGTTGGTAAAAGGAGCTTCTTCACAAGACACATCCTTGGCTATTCACTACTGTCTCAAATCTATGTTCCTTTA